TTGATGATGACGTGTATAGTATTCTCAACTGGATTGGTCTGAGAAGTATTTCATGATGGGTAAAGTCTTTTTACAAGCAAAATGAGAAATAGTGATTGACAGGTTAAAAAATAATTGGAATAATAATAATAATGATCGGGAAAAACAATGAAAAGATATTGAATGATGAAGTGGGGATTTTAATGTCTCTCTACTGACTGACATGCATGGCATTCCCTTTTGAAAAAGCAATGTAATACACCGTAAAGTTATATGCGATTCAATGTAATATAAACAAGATTATGATGATAATAAATGAATTTTTAAAAAGAAAGAGAAAATTGCTCATAATGTAAAAAAAAAAAATTCAATTCAGTTAAAAGATGGGAAAATGAGTTGAACAGATAACTCTCCAAGGAAGACATATGTATGGCCAAAAAGCAAATAAAGAGATGCTCAACATCCCTTATCATAATGGAAATGCAAATTAAAACCACTATTAGATATCATTTAACCCCAGTCAGAATGGCTAAGATTATAAAAAATAAAGAATGGTAAGTGCTGGTGAAGCTGCAGTGAAAAGGGAACATTCTTACACTATTGGCAGGAATGTAAATTAGCACAGCCACTGTGGAGAACAATACAGAAGTTCCTCAGAAATCTACAAATAGAACTACCGTAACCCAGTAATTCCTCTCCTAGGTATCTGCTCAAAGGATAGAAAAACACTCAGTAGGAAAAATACTTTCACATTATTTCAGCATTATTCACATTGGTAAGACACGAAATCAACCCAAATGTCATAGAACAGACGATTGGATTGAAAAAATATAGTATTTCTATGCTATGGAATACTACTCAACTATAATAAACAAAGAGACCCCGACATCTGATACAAAGTGGATGAATATAGATTTAATGATAAATGAGGCAAGCCAGATTATGAATGACAGGCATTTTATGTCCCACTTAATATATACTGAATGTCTTCACTCTATAGCAGAAACTGAAAGATTGGAAGGTGTAATAGCAGAAAGGGCAACTGAAGATACTAGAGATAATATAGGAGAGAGTAAGTAATAGGGGGGTGGGAGGGAGGGGATTAAGGAAAAAACAAACAAAACATTTAATAGATACAAAAAAATGAAAAGTTATCTGTTGATGATAATATATATGGTAATGTCTTTGACTGAATTTACATGCACTGTATTCATGCTGGAAAAAAATCATGTTATACACTGTAAACATTTACACTGATTAAATGTAAAAAAAAAAAAAAAAGTACAGCCACTATGGAAAACAGTATGGATTTCCCTCTCTCCCCCCACCCCCCAAAAATAAAATAGAATGACTGTGTTCCATCCCACTTTACCGATTGTCTAATTAGGCCATTTGTCTTTTTTTATTGTAAGTATTTTTATATGTTCAAAATATAATTTTCTTATCATATATGTAATTTGCAAATGTTTTCTTCAATTTTGCAGGTTGTGTCTACACTTTTCTGATAATCTTTTGCTTTGAAACAAAAATGGTTTTAATTTTGATAAAGTTCAGCTTACTGTTTATTTTTTCAGTTGTCATATCAAAGAATATTTTGTCAAATCCAAGATTATGAAGATGTGCCCACATGTTTTTTTCTAAGAGTTTGCAGTTTTTTAGCTCTTACACTTAGGTCTTTGACCTGTATTGAATTGCTTTTCTTGTACGTTGTGAGGAGGAGGTTCAGCTGCATCCTTTTGCATGTGGTTGTCTGGTTTTCTCAGCTCCATTTGTTGAAGGGACTTTTCTTTCCCCATTTAGTGGTGTTGACATCCTTGAACTCGGTGTTTTTAATTTCCCAGAAAAGTGGATTTTGAAAGTGCACAACACAAAGTAATGGTAAATGATGGAAATGGTGGATATGTTTATATGATTTGATCAGCACAAGTTGTATACATGTTTTGAAAAACCACACTGTACTCCACAAATAAGCACAAATATTTTGTGCAAGTTATAATTGCAATAAAAACGAATACAAAATTAATAAAATTTCTTCAGAGTGATAAAAATTAGGACAAATTGAACCTTGCATCTACACAAAGAGATGAATAATATCAATATAGTAAATATGTGTCTAAATATAACAGATTTCTCTTTACTTTAAAATTTTTTTAAAAGACTACTCAAGGAACCAGGAAGTGGCATGGTGGTTAAGGCACTGGACTCCAACATGGCCAACTGCAGTTCAAGTCCCAGACCTGGTGGCTTGCTTTCTCCCTTTCCCTTTCTCTCTCTGTGTGTCTCTGTCTGGTCAAATTGAATAATAATAACAACAACTAATAATAATAATAAAATTAAATAAATAATTCTTTAAAAAAAAAAAAAACTATTCCACCTGCACTGTCTCTGGTGGAGGGTGAGAAATGGCAGAAGGTGAGAGATAGGGAATCAAGGACAGGAAAAAAAGGCAAAATATTCAAGAAACAAGAGATAGAAAATTATTTGCTGACAATAACACGGATGCTGATGTGCTTGATTGAGCCAATATATAGTGTATTCTGGATGGAAAATCTCATTTTGTATACTGTAATGATGTACAGTAAATGAATGTAAATAGATAAATTTAAATTAAATAAATAAAGACTACTCCAAACAAAAGTAATAACAATGTACCGTAGTGCTTATAACATCTGTCAAATAAAATGTATCACAATAATATCACAAAGAATGGCAGATAAATGCTAGTATACTCCTATGAGCTTCTAACATTACATGTGAAGTGGTATAATACTAAATTATGATATATTATTATGCAGTAGTATTCATACATCTATATACACACACATTCTGAGATAGGTTCCAAATATTTCACCATAAGGGTACATGGCACAACAACGATTGTAAACACCTGATTATAAGAAAGAGAATAAAGATTCATTAGGTAACTCAAGGCACATAAGCATGTTTCAAGGGAGTGGTCAAATGACTTTCTTCTTTCCAACTCTTTACCTTTAAACTATGTGAATTTAATGACCTCTGACAAAGAAAAAATGGGTTCCACAAATATTGCTGCCACATCAACTGTAACCACTATACCTATCCCCATTCTAAAGATGTCACTTCCTGCACAACCTCAAATCAACCATAGTAACAGAAGCTCATACTATCAGAGGTGAAATTTAATGATGGCCACTGCCCATTCTCTTAATTTGACCTAAGAGACCTTGGGATAGCCCAAAGACCCAATAAGGGAGATGGACATTATTTCCCAGAAGTAAATACAGCTCAGCTTGTACTTTGGAACAATTGATCAACCTTTTCACTTGCACAATCTACTATCAAAGGTTATACAGTGCCTGAACACGATCATGGCGGAAACACCAGGCATCCTTACCATCTGCCTTTTAGGATGTCTACTCAGTGCTGAATGTACAGGTTGGTTTTCCTTTTTAAAATATATTGCGTATGCTTGCTTTTTAAATATAGAAATGTCTATTGCTGTCTTTTTCACTAAATAATGACTACATGATTTAATAGCAAAATTTAAGATCTTAGCAATCTGTGCGTGTATTGGTAAGGACTAGCTATCTGTTGTCTGGTTCTTCTTTTTCATTTTTATGAAGTAGATTTTCAAGTGGATAAGATACATTTTTATTTAACAGACATGGTTGAACTTATGATTGACAATGTAATTCCTCTTAGAAAACATTTATCTCCTTGGTAAAACTTAATTAAGAGAATATTATAGCAAGGAAACAGTAGAAAACGCAGAAAAAGAATTATCTGTGGTATTTTTGGATTTTTGACTCATTATTTTGAAATCAAAATGGGAAACTTTAAATCTACAATGGTCTTAAACAAAAATTCTGACTTTAAGAAATATTATGTGTTTCAAAATACTAGAACTGTATAATGAGGCATGTCTTAATTTTTAAAATTATACTTTCAATTTTATTTCAATTAAAACACAAAAATTAAGTATTCACTAGTAAGTTTTTATTTATCACCAAAAACTTTCATGGACTAGGTAGAAATCATTTTGTCTCTGATTTCAAATGTCTCAGAGTTGATATTGGAGAAACTGAATACTCAGCTGAACTCCTAGGAAAGAGAAGCAAGTCTTAGAATTAAAGTAAGGACTAGGAACTTAATAAATGCACATATATCACTTTGTTTTATCACAACTAAAGTGACTTTACATATTCCTCAGGGGAAGGCACACAGGAAGAAATTATCCCATTTGGACAAACAGCATGTTCTCACAAGAAGCATTTATCACATTTACTTGTCAACCTACTAGAATCAAATCTAGTAGCTGACAATGCCAGGATCAGGGGTGCCAACCCTCAATGTCCCCAGAAAGCACACTGGCCCCATGGTTCCAGCTCCAGACATGATGTCAGCTATGGAATCAGCTTGAAATGCTGAAATAATGATGAGAGAATGCAAAGGTTAAATCAAACTAGCAAAGTGGGTAAAGTCAGAAGATAAAGAAAATTTGCTGGAAAACTCACAAAGCAGGACATAAAACCAAGTCATTTGGTGCATCTCATTAGTGTGACATCTTGGAGGACAAAGAATCCACATCCTTTCTTCAAGATGAGTGATGAGATGACAGAGGTTGTAAAAGGGCTACTGTCCCCTTGAAGACCTCAGATGTTGTAAAAAAAAAAAAAGGCTCAGACAGAGTAACTGGGATTTCAGAGCTGGGTAAAGAATGACTAGAGATAAATCTGAAGGGGGTTAAATATATAACTCCCAGATAATACTCAGGAGAAAGGCAGTGTGATTCTGGAGCTGTTATAGTCAGAGATAATAGGCAATTGAGGTGAGAGCCAAGAGAATTTCTCTAAGAAGAGAGAATTGATACAGCACTCTCTTCTGCCTTTAAACTCTCATTGGCTTCTAAAAGGAAGTTCTATGAGTGATTTACTGAGATATCACATACTCATGGCTGCTGTCCTTAAGTGTTATTGCATTAATTTGGAATTCTGAAATCAAAACTGTTCTGTGAAATCAATCCAGTTTTGTAAAGTCTATTAATCAAAGCTGTCTTTCATTCACTCAGACATTACTGAGTACTATTATGGTGCCAGGTGCTGTGGTAAGGTACTCCAGGCATGAGGATAAACCAGACACCCGATATCTCCTAAAGCATCATATCAATAAGATGTAATCAAATGCATACAGGTGCTAAGGGAACATGGAGAAAGAAACACATAAAATGGGGAAATACTAGATAGACAGTATTTTCAGCTGTCTTTTAAAAGATGAGTAGAGGGGCCAACAGATGGCACAGTGATTATATCGCTGGGCTCCCACATGGCTGACTGTGGTTTAAGTCCCAGACCTAGTGGCTTGAAAATCACACCAGGCACATGTGTGTGCATGCCCAAGATCCCAAGAGGGGATTATAGCATGACCATCCCCTCTATGGGTGATTTCTCACTCTCCTCTCACTGTCTCTCTCTCTCTAACAAGTTCATGTACCATAAGGCAAAAAAAAGATGAGTAGAAAATAATAAAGAATTATCACATGACACAGTAACCCCACTTCTTGCTGTTTATCCAAATGATAGGAAAACAGCTGGGAGGACATTTGTACTTCCAGGTTTATTGTAGCATTACACAGAATCACTAAGACAGGGAACCAATCTAAGTACCCAAGAATTGTTGGCTGGGTTGAAAATTGTGGCACATACACACTATGGAATATCTTTCAACTATAAAGAACAATAAGATCCTGTGAATTTTA